CTAACAATAGTGTACTATTATATCTTTATAAATCTTAAAATAAAAAAAGAGAATTTATCTAAAATAATCTCATGTTTCATTTATTTGCAAAAAAAGGACATTTTCTAAAATATTTGTTAAGCAACCATTAGGTTCTTAACAGCAGCCCCAAAACTCGCACACATGCAGAAACGTGATATTATTTCTAAATACTGTGATGGTTATTTTTGAAAAATATGATTATTTTTTCATAATAATAATAATAACAATAATAATAATAATAATAATAATAATAATAATAAGGAGCAAGTGAAATCAATTTGGTATGAAAAAATGACTTAGGTGGCATTTTGATAAAGTGGGCAACACCATCTCTTCTCTGTTGGTATCAAATAAAATCGGTAAGCACAAGTATATATATTTGGAAAATGCTAGGGTGTCACCACATGGGTGCTACCATGGGTGCACCTATGCTTTGCACAGACAAACACAGACGATAATTGTCTGTGTCGCACAGACAATTATTGTCTATGTTTGTCTGTGCGAAGAATGGGTACACCCATGGTAGCACCCATGTGGTGGCACCCTAGCATGGTCCTATATATTTTCGGAGGATGGTGCATCTTTCGTTTTAATTTTACACACTACATCTCTCCGTCCTCTTTATGTATACAACAATAATATTACTCCCAGTACTAAGAAGTTATTTTAAGTTAATAATTACAACCTATATAAAAAATTATTTTAATTTAATAGTTACAACTTATTAATTTTTCTTATGTTATGTTACTTCTACTCCATATTTAGCATTGTAATGTTTTATGTAATTTCCTATTTGTATTGTAATATCATTTTAGTTTAACGAGTTTCGTCTTATTTTTAATAGTTTTTATTTTGGTTTCTATTTTAAATAATTTTTACATTGATTGGTAGATTTTATTATTAGTTTATACGGAGTATTAAATGCTTGTATATATTAGTTTATATATATTACTCAATTATTAGTTTAGAATGATTATTTGAAAAACACGTGTAGTAAGTTAGTGAATTGGCGTATATGCACCCACTTAAGTAATAAAAACATGAATTTAGATAGCGTTTCGTTCAACTAATTTTTTCTACTTATTACTTATTCTTATTAAAATCAGATCAGACCAGACCAGATCAGATTAGATCCAAACAGATCAAATCAAATCAGAATAGATCAGATTAGATCCAATCACATCATATCAGACCAGATCAGGCTAGATCTAAACAAAATTAATAATATTATTTTTATTATTATTACTATTACTATTATTTCCATTATTATTAGTATTATTATTACTATTACTATTAATAATATGATTATAATTATCATTACTATTGTTATTATTATTACTATTAATAATAATAATATTACTATTATTACTATTATTATTTCTATTATTATTATCACTATTGTTACTATTATTATGATTACTATTTTTATTATCATCATTGTTACTAATATTTTACTATTATTATTATTATTATTATTTCTATTATTATTATTATTTATATTATTCTTGTTATTACTATAATTATTAATATTATTATTATAGTCATTATTATCATTACTTTTATTATTACTTTTATTGTCAATTTTTCTATTATTATTATTATTACTATTATTATTAGTATTATTATTATTATTATTGCTATTCTTATTACTAATATTATTATTACTATTACTACTATTAGTATTATTATTATCCATATTGCTATTATTATTATTATTAATATTTCTATTATTATTATAACTATTATAATAAAATTTTAATTTCAATTTTAATCAAATTCATATCAGATAAGATCCAATTAGATCAGATCAGATCCAATTAGATTGAATTATATTAGATCAGATCCAATCAGATGAAATCCAATCAGATTAGATTAGATCCAATCAGTTCAGATCAGATCAAACAAACAGAATGCATCTTTATTAAAATCTAATGTTATGATTATTTAAAGTATATAAAAGATGCAATAAAAAAAGTATGAAATGTATGTATACCATCCAGCACGGAAATATGTTATTGTAGTCTTAAGGTCTAAAAATGAAATGTGCATATTTTCACATATTTTTTGTGGGAAGCAATTGGACTAGCCTTTTTTCATTTTAAAAGCAGAAAATTATTGTTGGTTACCCTCAATTTTGTGATATGAACTCACATGTCCCATCTTTTTTAAAAATATATTTCAAGGTACCTTTAGTTATCCAAAAACCAACTCTAGGGGACATTTTGTCTATTCCTCCGCCAGATTCATTTTTTCCGTTATCTTTTCATCATCTTCTTTCAAAAAATTATTGTTAGGTACGTACCATCAATTTTGTAGACCAATTACATTTCACCTTTTTTTTTAAATGTTGTACATTTAATTATTAAAATTAACAAAAAGAGAATGAATATAAAGGTTATCAAGAATTTGCCTCTGTCCTAAAAGCATTCACAGCAGCTTGTCAAACGAATGCCATGTCGTGCCACATGGAGGCGTGGCGCGAGGCAATGTAGGAGCGTTCCACCCCAACTATCGTTCCATCTGCGAGGCATTATTTTTACCAACAATTGATATTCTTGGAGTATTCTTTTATTCTTTTCAAAGAGATTGAAGAGGAGATTTAAAATAAAGAGAAGTAGGGGGCCGATCTAGGGTTTTTGGCAGGTGTGTGGTTCATCCAGATGGCTGTGACATTATTGGATGACTCTTGTTGACGGATGAAGGAAACTAGAGAGTTACAGAGTATTAATTTGTTTGATGCTTCAATTTTTTGTTTCTTTGATTAGGATTTGAAATTTTTAAATTTCAGTTATTATGAATTTCAATATCCGATATTATATGAAAAGGGAGTTATTTTTTATTATTAATATGAAGTATATATTAAAAAAGTGAAAAAATACTTACTTGCCACTGTAAAATTTGCCACTCAACTCATGTGCCACTACATGACTGGACTACTGCCTTGCACTGCCACATTAGTTCTTTCTAGCTACTCATATCATGGCGTGACAAGGCCAAAATGCCTTGGTGAGACATAAGTGTGGCACTCCACCCTTCTTTTTTAATTTTTTTTAAAATTCCTTTATGAAAAAAATGTATAAGAAAGAAGAATAATATTTTGATAAAATAAATAATAAAAATATTTTTTTATGTTTAAAAAACATAAAAAAAATGTAAAAAACGTGATAAAAATAATGACTTGCCACTGTAGAACTTGTTACTCTATTCACTTGGCACACGTTGACTGGACAATTTTTGATTGCTTAAAATGTTCCACATCACCGTGTGACATTCCATTTTTACCTTACCATTGTTGTCTATTTGTTGATGCTCTAAGATGCTTGAATAATGACTATTTGGCACGAATTCTAGAAAAATATAGAATCATCACGCAACGTCGCAAAGCCCATGTCCGGCCGAAAAGGCTACTTCGTGTTATTCATACCCCTTGTCTCCCAATAAGACTTCTACTCTTTCTCCCTTTCTTAAAACCATTTTTATTTTGATTTTGGGCCAAAATAAAGAAAGTGTAATTTTGGTTGACTTTTCAATTTTGTTCTGATGTGATGAGTAAAAGTAAGATGTGATAATTTGGTTATTAGTGAAAAAGTATGATATAATAGGTATGGTATGAAAAAAGTAGGTGTAAAAGTTTTAGGAAGGATTTTATGGAAAGGATGGAGTATATAATTTAGGATTTTGAGTAAAATTATTTTTAGAGTAATATAATTAAAATTTTGATTATAATTAAAAAATAAGAAGTTATATACTAAAATAAAATTTTTTACAAAACAAATAGTGACAAAATTATTTTATTTTATCAAATTATCGATGAAAATAAAATTAAAAATGTAATATTTGTTTAACCGTGAATAGTAACTAGAAGTTTTTTTGCGAAGGAGGGAGCTTCTAAAATTAAATCCTTACTTTCTCTGTCACGTGACGCAAACACGAAAATCACAAAATACATAATCTTATTATTTGTGCATCTTACAAAAAAACAAAATAATATCAAAGTTTAAATATAAAAATATTAAAATTTGTGTATTTTGTGAGCATTGTATTATTTGTGACTAACATTTCTCTTAAAAGAAATTATGTAAATAAAATTATTTTTCTGAAGCAAACAAATTTCTACTCAGAATGATTTATTTTTCAATTTTAATTTTCTTACTTCTCTATGTATTATATTTAACAGAGTTATTACTTATAAAAAAAGTTTAGGAGAAAGAAGTTACTCCTTCCCTCTTAAAAAATGCCAGAATTTACTACTTCCTTCGTCCCAAAAAGTCTTTCCTGTTTACCATTACGGTCTCTCGATAACTCTTATTTGTTTGCGTGTTTTCATTGATCATTTGATAAAATAAAATATTCTTGTCACCTCTTAATTTGTAGAGTTTTCGATGTAGTTTTTAAATATAATTTTTTTATGTGTTATTTCTTTACCAATTTGCAAATAAAATGATTTTAAAAATCATAAGGTTTTGCACGTTAATCAAAGTTAAAAAGTTACACATTTTTTGTCTTTTTATACGTTTTCATTGATTATTTGATTAAATAGAATATTCTTATCTTCTTATTTTTGAATAACGTTTGACGTATTTCTAAATATGTAAATATTATTTTTTATTTCAATACCGATTTTAAATAAAATGAGTTGAAAAAATTTAAAATTTTATTTTATTTTGCGCTATGTGACAAACATTTTAGGACGGAAGGAGTATTATTTAACATGGTATAAGAATTGAGAGGTGTGCTAGGGATACAACAAGTTTTTACCCAACTCACTCACCAAGTTCATCATGGATATACACACAGACATTAATTATCTATGATGGGCAGAGTAAATTCATAGTATAAAAGATCCTAATAATAAATTATTTACAATTCACAGATTCTGTAAATTCAATAGATTCTTTTAAACCTACCAGAGTTAGATGAATTTTAATGTATTTTATGAGCAAGTTTCGTTTCTTTTTTCCTTCTTCATCTTCAAGAACCTTAGCCACTGCCTCTCTTCTTCGATCTCCTTTCTTTCAATTCCCTCTGCCTGCTCAGCTACCACGCCGCCGCGGAGTCAACGCCACTATTGTTGCCACCAAGATTCACCGCCACTGCCGTCGATCCCTCGCCGCCTCCGCAACCACCATCGTTGCCACTCAAATTCTTTCTTTCTACGCCGGCTCCTTCTTCCCCTGAAAGAATTCGATGCCAGTACATGTGCTAGAAGTCTAGAACACATATTTGCCTATCAATTTAAACTAAGGAGGGTTGAGCATTCGGCAAAGGGAGGTAGTCACCGATAGAGGTTGGCAATACGATGAAAGAGAAGAGTCTAAGAGCCGTGTGGGGAGTTACAAAATCTTTACATTTTTTGTCAGAGACGAGTCTAAGCTAAGAGCAATACGATTTCAATTTAATTTATATCAGATTCGAAAATCCGTATTTTATAAAAAATATTTTAAATTCGAAAATCATATTTTAATACGATTTCAATGAGATGTTTTGATTTTGTAGAAATTTAAGAGGAGTGTATTTTGTTATTGAATTTCCAAAAATGTCCTTTGATGTGATGGATAAAAGTAGAATTTGATTGGTAGATTATTATTAAAAAGGTATGATGTGATAGGCAGGGTATGAAAAAGTAAAGGATAAAAGTGACTTTTTAATAGAAATAAGAAGTATTTTTTGGGACGGATGAAAAAAGAAAGGAGAAAGCCAGGTTTTCAGGGACGGAGGGAGTATAAATTTTTGAATACAATTAGATTTAATTGAATATTTTAAAATCCGAATTGAATTCTTCTAGATTTTAAATAATTTTTCTAAATCCGAATTGAATACCTATGTACTTTTGAAAATTCAAAAAAATACTCCATCCGTCCCTGACTATTTGTCCACTTTTGACTTTTTTCAGTCAAAATTAGTAAACTTTGACCTCAAATTTAATAAAAATGACATTAGATATTGATACAAAAAGAGTTTTTATTAGATTTATTATATCAAATACCTTCAAAATATTATTTTATTTAATTAAAATACAATATATAATTTATTTAATTATAGGTCAAAGGCTAAAAACAGTTGACCGAAAAAAGTCAAAACTGGACAAATATTCAGGGACGGGTACTACTAGAGAATCTACAAAAAAATTTCAAGGAGCATTCCTTACGCGGATCCCTAATTTGTTGCTATATAAAGGGCCACCCGTCCTTCATTCTTAAGCACATTACATAAAAAAACAAAACCGTTACTATTACTACTATTCTTCTCCTTTTCACACCACTTTTTTTTATCTTGTCTCCTTTATCTTCTCTTTTCCGTCAAAACCTAGGGCTCATACAATCTACCCTTTCCCTTCCTGTGTTCCGAATAAATAAACAAATAAAACCCAGAATATTTTTTTCTTGTTTTAATTATAGTTTGATCGGTTCTGGAGATGACAGAAGAGATGACAGAAGAGAGTGAGTACAAATGGTGTTTTTCTTGCATGATGATTTCCATGCTTGAAACTATGTGTGCTCACTCTCTATCTGTCATCCCACCACTCTCTCTCTCTCTCTTATTTCTTTGAATATTTTGTTCTTTGATATGATACATCTAAGATGTTGCAGAAAAAATTTCACTTTATGCTTAAAAGAATTGGGGACATGATTCTTCTTGATTGAGAAATAACGTATGAAGAATCATGTCCCCAAAATCTATACAAAATAAAATCATATAAGCAGCACAATTTTTTTCTTAAAAAAGAAAAAGAATAAATTTTAGAAATAAGTTACATAGAAAACTGAGAAAGTAATCCTTAATTACTAGATGTTGGAAAAATTACTTTTAAAGTACATTAACAATGTCAATCTAATTTTACTTTTAAAATATATCTTTATTGCTACCTGTAATTTGAGTTTCTAAAGTTATTACATTATAAAATATGAATGAAAAAATATTATTACATTATATTATTATATTATAACATGAATTATTATTCTAATATATGAATTAGCTCATTTTATTTCATTAAAAATAATCATAAAATAAATAAAATATTGATTATATTATAATATGAATTATCATTACAACTTTCAAAAGTTATTATAAAATCAGATCAAATTATTGATTTGAACTTTAAATCAAATTATATTTAATCATATCGGATCAGATCAGATTCAGTCAGATCACACCAGATTAGATCAGATCAAATCAGATCGGATTATATCCAATCAGATCAGATCAGAAATACAAAAAATTAGATCAAATCAGAAAAAATAAGTTGAACGGAATGGAGCCTTAGAGAGAGTTAAGGGAAGTAGAAATAATCATTTTTACTAAAGAGTTACTGTAAACATCCTAAATGAACTGGTGTAATCAATTGATGTCATTTTAGTGTCACCTTAGACCCCTCATAGTATTATTAATAGTAACTATTAATAGTATTTTTAATAGTATTCATAATAATATCAAAAGAATATTTTCAGTTATGCAAAAGAATAATATAAATAAGGAAATAATATTAAAAAGAATAAGTCGATAAAATTACTTAAACAATTACATTATTAAAATGATAATATCATCTAATTATTTAAAAGTGTTTAAAACTAACTCTGGATTAAAAAAGTCTATTCTTGTAAGTGTTTGAAAGTTCTTATATTATATTAAATGTATAATTTTGTTATATATTCGTTATTTTTACATTTATAAGCTATATAGAGTACAATGATTATTTTGTACATTTTATTTTATAATGATAATAATAATAGTATTCATAATAATGAAAATAAAAATAATATGAAAATGAATTTTAATAGTTAGAAAGAATTCGAAAAGAGTAGCAGAAATTATAAAAAAATAAATACGGAGTATTCAGTTCCTTGAAAATGATCGAGTAATTATTTATTCGAAAATAAGTATTCAGATGTTTGTAAATGAGCGAGCATTCATTTGCTTATAAATAAGTATTCATCGTGGCTATATGGTGCTCAAATTGTATCGCGCATAGATATTCTCATTACTTGTTATAATGATTGACCGACTTTATATTATTCTATGAAATGAGTGGTAAAAATAAGTAACTAAAGTGAGTTAGGTTTAATTCTGTAAATAGTGTCTAAGAAAATCAATGAAGGACAGAAAAAACACTACACAACGATTTTTATTTAATTAATCGAAATGTATTGAGTTTGATTGGAAAAAAAAATCAAATTCGTCGTTTGGGTAAAGAATGTGGAGTTAGTATTCCTTTCTCTCACAATGAATTATACTCTTTACAATTCAAAAATAATTTGAATTTTTGTTTATTTCTTTAAGTACATAAATTTTATTTTTTATTTTTATGTCTCCGCCCATAAATAATACGGAGTATAAATTTAACAAAAATCAAATTTTACTTCATTTTACATAAATTATACTCCCTCCGTCCCATGAAACCTTTCTCCTTTTTTTTTTTATCCGTCCCACAAAACACTTCTCATTTCTATTAAAAAGTCACTTTTACCCCTTACTTTTTCATACCCTAACTATCACATCATACGTTTTTACTAATAATCTATCCATCAAATCATAATTTTACCTATCACATCAAAGGACATTTTTGGAAATTCAATACCAAAATACACTCCCCTTAAATCCCTCCTAAAAAGCAAAAGTGTCATGTTTCATGGGACGGAGGGAGTATTCATTTAGGAGCGGAGAGATATAAATATTTCTCTTTCAAATTAAATACTCATCCATAGGTTTTTTTACCTTTTATTACTAGTGTATTTTTTAAATACTATTACCAATTAAATATCATTTCCTTCTTTCGAATTAATATTCAACCACACATTTTTCACTTTTAAATTTTATTACAAGTATTTCCGATCAAAGTGAAATTTTAACTTGATGGGAGTAAGTTAGAGTGTCATTTAATTACATACTCTCTCCGTCCCAAAAAGTCTTTCCTATTTCATTTTTTGCGTATCTTATAAAATACTTCTATTGACATCAAAAATGCCTAAAATTTACAACATTTCTTCTTTATTGTGGGTAGAAGCTATTTTGAAAGTTTTTTTGCATTCAAAGTGGGATAGAAGTTTTTATGGAATGCGCAAAAAATAAAACAGGAAAGACTTTTTGGGATATACTTTGAAACCTTTTGATGTCTGATTCAAATCCTTCGATGGATAATTTGTTTTTTTCTTTATTTTTCTTTGAATTTCAGCTTCACATACACCTGGCTGCTCCTTTAAAGAAAGAAAGAAAAAGCTTTTTGTATTGTAAATATATATCAAATGCATGTGCAGTTTATGCCATTTGTTGTTTTGCAGGCTCCACCTTCATCTATTATCCATCCACATACTCCATCATATCTTCTTCTAGTCTCTAGAAATATGTCAAATAAAAGTAGCTTTAAGAGACATTTTTTATTCATGTTACAATTAGTGTATTTTCTATTAGTAACCATCATAAGAAAAATATCATTTTTTTTCATTTTTAAGAATAAATTATATAATTGATCTTTAAAAATAGAAAGTTTTTCATATTTTGTCTTTTATTACCAAATATTATACGTTCATAGTTTTTCATGTATGAATACTTTATCAAAGATAGTTTTTTTCGCTCTAGAAAATAATTAGTATCACCCCGTGCTTTGCACATCTCGTATTTGCGGTATGAAAATATGTTGGTGTCATTAACTCACTTTTCTCTGAAGTCACTAACCTCATCTATTTTTTCTTTTGGTAAAACCTGAAATTATAAAATATAATAACCGAGACTCGTTCTGAAATTTTACGATACACCTATCATTATTTATGTAAATGTTTGCATCACACATTCACATGTTAATGAAACATACGGAGTATAATACTAATACTGTTGTATATCATACGTTATTTCACCATTTGCATTAAAAGAATTGGGGACATGATTCTTCTTGATTGAGAACATCAATCACACGATCATTAGAGCACGAACAATGGTGAGGCAACAATAGAATGTGGAATGTCACACGCTGACATGTCAAATCTCAACCAATCAAAAATAGTCTAGTCAGCAAGTGACACCTTAATGGAGTAGCAAACTATGCAGTGGCAAGTCATTATTTTTACTATTTTTACATTCTTTATGTGTTTAAATTATAAAAAAAACATTTTTTATTTTATCAAAAAAAAATTAAAAATACCTTTTCTTCTTTAAGAAAAAAAATGTTTTTTTCTTTGACCCACCAAACTCTGTCTCAGTCCTTGCCCACCAAACTCTCCATTCGACCCCTGAACCAGCACCTGCCTCCATCAAAGGCCACCACCTCCACCACCACTATGCGGCAGCGTTTTCTGCAAATCTTGCAAGAACTCCACCATTCCCATCAAAGGTGAGTTCTTTACTCATTCGTCCATAATTTCTGACCCCAAGATTCAAACTTTACTGAAATTAACTCATTAAGATCTCCCAAAAAAGGGAAAATTAATGGTTTGATCATTGCATTGAACTTTGATTTTTGTCAAGGCATAAGCTCCATCTTCCTTGAGGTCATTTTTGAAATTATCTAGGTTGTTTCATCTGTGCATGAATTTGATCTCCTTGTCAATGCAAGAAATTACTATTGGCATCATCATGATGATAAATACTTACATTTTTCCCGAAAGATAATATTAAATAAACAAAAACTTGATCATTATCAAAGACTATATCCAGAGATTTCAACCTCCTAGCATGAGCAAAAACATGATAAACTCTTATACTCATAATTTAAGCATCCACGCCGAGCAACTCTAATCTTTTTTAGAAGACCACACCCGAATGTCAATATATACCAACACAGGCACTGCACACACATGAAGAAAACACACCAGGTAAAAAAATGCAATCAAACTTGGAAAGACAAGGAATTATCGACAAGTTGCTACTACAAGCAAAAACAAGCATCATGGGCACACAAACTGCTCAGAGGGCTGCTAAGTTTAATGTTAGTAGAAGGACAATCACTTCGTTGTGGACAACAACTAAAGGACAACTAGAAACAGGCAGTTGCATTGATGTAAGAAGTAGAATGCCAGGAAATGTTTAAAGGAAGAGAGCTATATATAGTGGACTTGGAGTCCATTTCAGAAGTTCCATTGAGGAGGAGAACTAGCATAAGAGCACTAGCATCAGCAAGGGGGATCTCAAAATCCACAATTCACAATTGGGTGAAAAGAGGTATTATTCAAAGCCACACTAATGCAATTAAGCCCACACTTACTGATGCAAATAAGAGGCAAAGGATGATGTTTTGTTTGCAGCAGTTAGAAGAATCCAGTATCCCCTTAAACCCAACCTTCAAGAGTTTTAAAAATGTCTTGCACATTGATGAGAAATGGTTTTTTTATAACAAAAATATCACAACGCTTTTATTTGACCCTAGAGGAGGATGAGCCATACAGAACATGTCAATCTAAGAGATTTATCACAAAAATAATGTTTTTAGGGGTCATAGGAAGACCTATAATTTATGATGAAGATGAAGTCCTTTGGGATGGTAAGGTAGAGATTTTCCCCTTTGTGGAGTCTGTTGAGACTAAGAGAAAAAGTAAGAATAGGGAAGTAGGTTCACTGGAAACCAAACCAATATAAAGTGTCACAAAACAAGTGTTTAAGGACATGTTGATACACACAATCATACCTGCCATTCAAGAGAAGTGGCCAAACTTCTTAAGCAAGGAAATTCTTATCCAACAAGATAATGCAAGGCCACATATTCTTGGAAATGACCTAGACTTTGTCATGGAAAGTACAACAAATGGTTTCCAGATTACCCTAGCTAATCAACCCCCTGATTCTCCAGACCTCAACATTCTAAATTTAGGTTTTTTCAGGGCATACAGTCATTGAAGGAACAATCAGCTCCAAGCAATGTAACTGAATTAATGAATGTAGTCCATGAAGCATACAATCAGTTCTCATCCCACACACTAAACAAAGTCTGGCTGAGTTATCAACATGTGATGCAAGAGGTGATGAAGGTTGAAGGGGGCAATAACTACAAAGTTCCACACATGGGAAAGGATGCTATGCACAGAAATGGGACACTACTAGATGTACTACAACTATACGAGGGTTTGTATGAAAGGAGTATGGCAGTACTTGGGGAATAAAATGGGCCAGCTGTACTTGTGGTTGAAACACATGAAGTCCTACTAGGTCAGTTCATCCTTGAAGAAGATGAGGAGATCATTCTTCAAGATTGAACTAACACCTAACAAGACTGCGTATCATTGTGGTTGTACATTGTTTTTGGGTTTTTGAATTTTGGGTTTTTGAAAAAACAGCAACCACACATGTTTAATGTATTCCAACAAAGTAATGTATGGATTTCTTGTTACTCATCATTGCAGTTCAACTTACGTACCAACCACATCATAGCATGCTCAGACACATGCCAGCCTTACTTATGCACACACACATAGGACAAACAGAAGCCAGGACACACACAAAGTAAGGAATATAACCAAGTATCATCATAGTATGCTCAGGGTTATTTAGGAATCAGATTTGGACACACACATAGCCCACACAGAAGGTAAGGGCAGAATACTTGAGCACATCATAGCATGCTCAGACACGTTCCAGTCCTACTTATGCGCGCACACATAGCATAGACACAGGCCAGGGCACACACAAAGTAAGGGATATAACCAAGTATCATCATAGCATGCTCAGGGTTATTTAGGAATCAGATTTGGACACACACATAGCCCTCACAGAAGGTAAGGGCAAAGAAAAACAGTAAGGCAGAATACTTGAGCACATCATAGCATGCTCAGACACATTCCAGCCCTACTTATGCACACACACATAGCACAAACACAGACCAGGGCACACACAAAGTAAGGGATATAACCAAGTATCATCATAGCATGCTTAGTGTTATTTAGGAATCAGATTTAGACACACACATAGCCCACACAGAAGGTAAGGGCAGAGAAAAACAGTAAGGCAGAATACTTGAGCACATCATAACATGCTCAGACACATTCCGGCCCTATTTATGCACACACACATAGCACAAACACAGGCCAAGGCACACACAAAGTAAGGGATATAACCAAGTATCATCGTAGCATGCTCAGGGCTATTTAGAAATTAGATTTGGACACACACATAGCCCACAGAGAGGGCAAGGGCAGAGAAAACTAGTAAGGCGGAAACATAGCACAAACTCAGGCCAAGACACACACAAAGTAAGGGATATAACCAAGTGTCATCATAGTAAGGCAGAATACTAACCATCATCATAGCATGCTCAAGTTATTAAGGACACAAAGTTGCAACCACACACATAGCTCAACAGAAGGTAAACATAATTTAAAGTGTGTTTAAGATAGAGAAGAGAGAGTACAGTTTATCCCTACTTGGGTGTATCCCAGCCCGGGAACATAATTTTTAAGATGGTGTCACAAGTATGCTTTCTTACGCACACAAAGCTTGACACTGGAGCTCTCAAAGGCTCAGTGGGCTCATCCTCTTCCTCTGAATCAAGGACAACCTCCGCCACCTTCGAAATACCTTCTTCAAAAGGATGAAGTTGCTCAATCACCAAATCGCCAGATGCGGAGAAGGTTTTTTCATCCTCGATGGCCTCCTCAGGGTCGAATTCATCCACAGTCTCTCCAATTACAGAAAGGTAGCGCAGATGTTCGGAATCCATGGAAATTCACCCACCCACTTGTCTCGTTTAAATCCGCCGCTCTGGTACAGGTGAGAGCAACTTGATGAAGGTATCAGAGAGGAGGAATAGAGACGAAAGAGAGGAGGAAAACCCTAGATCTAAGAGGTTTGTGGAAGAGTATGGTGTGAAGGAGTAAATGGCAAATAAGTAGAGGTAGATGCAAAAGTAGATTGGTGGGTGGCGTAGAGTAAATGGCGATAATGACGATGAATGTGAGGGAGAGGTATAATTGACCTTTACCCTTCAATTCTTTACTAAATTTAGAAATGAGAAGTTTTTTTGGGAACGGATGAAAAAGGAAAGTGGGAAGTTTTTTTTGGACCGAGGGAGTATATCATTTACCCGGAGTATTATTTATATTGCGCATAGTATCATCCTTTTACACGGTTATAATATTTATGTTTCTATTTATGTAAGTTATCATAACAATATGTTACAATTTACGGAGTATTATTTATGTTACACCCATTGAAACATGATTTTTGAAGTTTTTATTACCATGATTCTCTTTGAAAAATCTTTCTGTCCTTTTGATAATAATTAGTCTTATTATTAAATAATGAATTTTTCATCCCTATATGTAAATATTACAAAAAAAATAATCATAAAAGACTAAAAGCAATGGTAAGAATATACTCTCTCCGTCCCAAAAAGAATGTTACGTTTCATTTTTTGTGCATCCCTTAAAACACTTTTATATCGTCTCAAATGCCAAAAAAACTTTCAAAACAATTTCATCTTATAATAAAGAGTAAATATGGTAAATTTTAGAATTTTTAGATGTGAGTAGCCATGCTTTTTGTGATGCGCAAAAAAATGAAATGTAACATTCTTTTTGGGACGGAGGGAGTATTAAAGAATTTAAATAGTAATAATAATATTCTATTTTCTACTCCCTCCGTCCCTAATAACATGAAAGATTTTGATTTTTAAGTGATTTAAGGAGAGTGTATTTTATTGTTGAGTTTTCAATGATGTTCTTGGATGTGGCAGGTAAAAGTAGGATTTAATTGGTAGATTAATAGTGAATAAATATGATGCGATAAGTAAGTTAAGAATTAATAGGGATAAAAATAATTTTAATATAAATGAAAAATTTGTTTTGGGACGGATGAAAAAAGATAGGGGAATGATTTTCAGGTATAAAGAGAGTATTATCTTTATTACTTCTAAAACAAACAAAGTTTAATTGTTTGTTCGGATGGGGAGAAAAAATGAGGGAAGAAATTGATAGGAAAGAAGATTGTGAGAAAATGAAAAGAAAAATTGTAGTGTTTTGATAAACAAAAAAAAGATAAGAAAATGGTGAGAGAAAAAACTAAAAGAAAGAAAGAAAAGGAAAAAAAGTATTCTCATCTTTGTTGGAAAAAAACTGGCAAGGGTCTCACACATTACTCATTTTTCCCTTCTCGTCCAAACATGAGAAATTATATTAAAATTTAAATAAATTAAAAAAATTAAAATTTATATTTTATCTTCTTTTTTAATTTTCCCATCATATTCCCACTAACAAGCCATGGGTAAGAGATGCATGAACCATGAGTCCATGACCCTTTGGAACGGATTCTAGAAAAATAGAGAACTATCACGCAACCCTCTTGTCCGGCCGAAAAAGGTTATTCCATCTACACACAACTATTAAATCAGTTCTGAAATTAAATCGTTACTTTTTTCATGTATGTCCCAAAATAAAAATATATTATTATTGTTTCTGAGTATTTATTCATTTTTAAATTTTTTTAATTACTATTTTTAGTTTTTGACTTATAATAAAATAATAAATATTATTGTATTTAAATTAGATAAAATAATTTCTCAAAAAATATTTTTTATAAATGTAATAAAATTATTGTTGTATCAAATTTGAGGTCAAACTAACTTTACCAGACTTAACCAAAAAAAAGACCAAAACCCAAAGAGATGGAGGAAGTACTACTTGTTCTTCGAAATAGGAGGTGTCAAGAATATTTTATTTTATCAAATAACCAATGAAAATGTAGAAATAAAAAAAAATTCCCGCGACTGCTGAAAAAACAAATGTTGTGAATATTTTGGGACGGTTTCCATTCAAACTAAATCCTATTTTATAAAATAAAAATCAAATTTACTCTCTTTTATGTTTTCCTATTTCAAAATTTTTTGTTTTTTTATTTGATACTCCCTCCGGTCCTAAAAACATGTGAGTTATTTATTTCGTTAGAGATTTAAGGAAAATGTATTTTGATATAGAATTTCCAAAAAAGTCCTTTAATGTGATGACTAAATGTAGAATTTGATGGGTAGATTATTTGTAAAAATGTATGATGTGATAGATAGGGTATGAAAAAGTAAGGGGTAAAAGTGACTTTTTTTATAGAAATAATAAGTTTTTTTGGGACGGATGAAAAAAAAAAGAGAAAGGTTTTCAGGGACGGAGAGAGTATATTTTAATATTTCTTTATTTACAAATGTTTGTTCGATTTTTTATTTCGTGATATTTTGTTTTATTTTAATGTCCATACCCCTTTTTGTTTAATTATTTTTTTTCCGTTTGAACCATTTTTTCGTTTTTTATTTTTTTCTTTTACTTTTTCATAGCATAAAAAAACAAAAAAGAGAAAGAAAACTTTTTCATTTCTCACATATTCAAAAAAGAGAAATAAAGAAGTAAGTTTTATTTTTATTTATATACTAATATTTAAATAAAATGATAGAAAAAATTAAGATTTTACTTCATTTTTCGTAAAGAGTAAATAATTTAGGAACATAAAAAGTACTCCGTATTTTTCATGGATTGAGAATTGGATTTCCTAATTTATACAAAACCCTTTACATAAAATCATTTTATGTTTGAAGATTCGTAAAATAGAGACGACGTTAAGAACGATAGAAAATTTTTCCCTATTTATACATGTGATACACTTGGTGTGTGATTTGAGGTACACTAAATTGTACTATATTCCATTTATACACCATTGATTTTTTACTTATTTTATAATTTTTTTTCTATACTTGAAATTATGTAGCGAAGACGAAGTGATTTACATTTGAGATACATTCTTTGCTGTAGCCCTAGTATTTTTGTGTAAGGTATACACTTTGGTACCCCCAACATTTTTCAACAAAGTGTTTCCTTACGCGTATCCCTAATTTGTTACAGCACTATATAAAGGGCCACCCGTCCTTCATTCTTAAATAGAAAAGCAACACCTTTACTATTATTACTACGACGACGACTAGCCTTCTCCTTCCCCAATGCAACAGTTCGCACCACTTTTTATCTTGTCTCCTTTTATCTTCTCTTTTCCATCAAAAACCTAGGGCTCCTACAATATGATACCCTTTCCCTTCCTCTGTTCCAAATAAATAAACAAATAAAACCCATATTTTTTTTTACTTCTTTTAAGTATAGTTTGATCGGTGCTGGAGATATGTTTGAGATCAAGAAGAATGATTCAATTCATTCAGAAAGAAATTAAAAGGAAAGGATGGGGGTAATAAGGGGAGGAGATGACAGAAGAGAGTGAGCACAAATGGTGTTTTTCTTGCATGATGATTTCCATGCTTGAAACTATGTGTGCTCACTCTCTATCTGTCATCCCACCACTCTCTCTCTCTCTCTCTCTCTCTCTCTCTCTCTTAAATCTTTATGGTTGATTGGTTTTTTAAAAATTTTCAATTTTGTTTTGATTTTTCCTTTTTTTTTTGTGTTTAATTTTCTGCTGTTAACTGGTTCAAGATCTTCATGAAAATAACATGATCTGTTGAGTGGGTCCGTGAAATTCATGTGATCTGTTGAAATTGTTCACGGAATTAATATGATCTGTATGTTGAAATTGTTCGTAGAAATACGGAGGTGGAAAAATACTTTTAAGTTTTTCCCAATGAATTTTATCTGATTCTTTTCTCAGCGGATCTAATTTGGGAATTTGATGGTTTTTTTTCCAATTATGTACACTGAGTTTTTTTTCCTAGTTATTGAATTTGTGTGTTTTAGAGCACTATTTTTTTTCGAGAGAATCTTTACGTTTTCTGGAAAATTTATAATTCAATTTGTTGTTTGGCACAGTCCTTAGCTTGATGGACTGAAAGATGGATCTGATTAAAACATATGATCATTAGTTATTTTCTTAGTTTAATGTTTTGGATCTGATTCAAACATATGATCATTTGTTGTTTTCTTAGTCTAATGTTTTGATTGATTAGGATCTGAGCTTGATCGTTGCGGCCAATTAATTTTCGTTCTTTTGGAAGAAAGGTTGTTCAAGGAACGAGACATGCAGAAACATACAGGAATATACTCCCTCCGTCTGCAAAAAAAGGTTCCTATTTTGACTTGGAGCTAAAATAAGGAAGTGTAAAATTATAGTTGACTTCCAATTTTGCCCCTGATGTGATGGGTAAAAGTAAGATGTGATGGATAGGTTATTAGAGAAAAAGTATGATGTGATAGGTAGGGTATGAAAAAGTAAGGGTAAAAGTGATTTTTTAATAGAAAATGGAAGTGTTTTGTTGAAAGTGAAAAAAATGAAAGAGAAAGTGTTTTTAAAAACGGAGGGAGTATATAATTTGGATCCTCACAATTCTTGTGTGGGAGAGTCATTTTGATCGTGTGAAGGATGGAGGCCCAAAGTTAATTACCATTCATGGGAGGGCAATATTAGTGATAAATTAGATTAGTGATCTTGACATATTAGTGATAAGGATGGAGGCCCAAACTTATTACCATTCATGGGAGTATGTGATTGAGGATTTGAAGGGATTCTTAACAAAAAAAAAGCATTTTATGTTCCATTGTACTCCGCATTTGTGTAACTTATTGAAATTCATTTTTGAGTATTTGGTTGGATGCAAAATATTTTCTTTGAAAAATTTTGGTTTTATTTTCTTTTATTTGGTAAAAGTAGTTAAAAATCTACAAAATTAGACATGACATGACTATATTATTTTACCAAATAGGAAATGACAACAAGGTAAAAAAAATGAATAAAGTTTGACCATGTAAATAGGAAACGAGAATTTTATTATTGGATGGTAAGAGCATATGTGTGTGTGTGTGTTCATAGTAGTGGATCTAAATATATTAATTTGAAGAAGTTGGTAAAAGGAATTGATATATAATAAGAAAACAAAGAAAAAATCTTACATATGTCGAAGAAGCATATATCTTATATGATATATTTATTGTAAACATTCTTACATACTCTTTTCGTCCCGTGAAACATTTCTCCTTTCTTTTTTTATCCGTCCCACAAAACACTTCTCATTTCTATTAAAAAGTCACTTTTACCTTTTACTTTTTCATACCCTAACTATCACATCATACCTTTTTACTAATAATCTATCCATCAAATCATACTTTTACCTATCACATCAAAGGACATTTTTAGAAATTCAATACCAAAATACACTCTCTTATATTCCTCTTAAAAAGCAAATGTCCCATGTTTCACGGGACGGAGGGAGTATTTTTTATGAGCTGATAATAATTGGATATTTTTTTAAAGGTCTAATATATTTAATTATCGGGGTTCATAGAAAAAATGTGCTCAAGAACCACACCAAATATCATCTAAAGTCTAACCCTTTGGATAGATTATGAGATAAATTGAGAGGAAGGAAAATGCAAAATTATTATTTGGATGAAGTGAAAATGAGGTGAAAATAGAGAAAAAACTTGAGAAAAAAATGGAAAAGTAAAAAAATAGAAAAGATGAAAATTGATTGGTTGATGCAACTTCCTTCCATGAGAGAAGAAAAAGTTCTCACCACTTCTATTTGTTCCTTCCCATGTTCTTAAGAATCTAAATTAAACAAGAGAAAAATGAATGTTTGGATTTTCATGTTTTCTCTCCTCCAATATTCTTTCTCCTCTTTTTTCAAACATCCAAAATGATATAATTTGATAGTAATTAGTATTATTGAATAATGAAGGTTTCATCACTTTCACATCCATATATTAAGAAAAGAAGAATAGTGTTAAGAGTATCCCACATCGAAAAAGTGTGAGAAAAAATAATCGGTATATAAGCTTTTGAGTTGAACTAACTAATTGATTGGATTCAATATTTTAATGTGGTTCAGCTCAAGTGTCTTATTGCCCAATCCAGTTGTCCACACTCAATCCTAAATTTATCAAATAGTAAAGAACATTTTAATTATAATAGACTAACAATAATAAGAATAGAATAAGAAAAGTAAATAATAATAACAACAATAATAATGGTGAGAATAAATGAAGAAAAAAAATTATATTTGAATTGATAAAAGTCTTTAAAAAAATGGTGAGAAAATAAAAATAAAATCGAGGAAGATAAAGAAAAAAATAAGAAATCAACCTAAATAGGAGTAGAACATAAAGAAAATATCAGAATAGGAATTTCGTGTTTTTATTCAAAAAATAAGAGTTTTCGTTGTAGTAATGTGACACTGTATATGTACATTGTACAATATCTTTTAGATAATGTATATGGTCATGATTGGCTTTGTAAATGAATTTTAACTCATAATTCAAAAATGAAAACATGAAATTCTTATTCTTCTACTATTTTTCAATAATTTACTCTTATTTTAGTTGGAGTAGTATATTTTTCAATAATTTACTCTTATTTTAGTTTTTTTTTGTCTAAAAAGTGTATGCCCTTATTGATGATGAAAGTTTTGACCTTGATATCACATCAGTATTTTTTTCTCTCTTTCTTTTTCAACCAAACATAAGAAATTATACTTCCTTTATTTTTTAAAACACTTCCTTTATCATTTCTTTATTTAGTCCAAAACAGTTCCATTTTTTATTAAAAAAATACTTTCATTCCTACTTTTTCTTGCTCTTTCTATCACATTATACTTTTTCACTAATAATCTATATATCTCTGAATTTACTTTAATCCATCACATTTAGAGTAAATTGGAAAGTCAACTACAAATATACATTCATATTTCTTCTAAAAATCAAAATATGAATCCTTTCACAAAAAAGGAGTGTTAACATTTGCACTCCCCTTTTTCTAATTAAGTGGGATACTAGAAGCGTTGAACTATGACTATTTGGGACGAATTATACAAAAATAAAGAACTATCACGTAACGCTCATGTCCGGCCGAAAAGGGTATTCCATTCATACACAACTACTAAATCAGATCTGACATTAAACCGTTACATTTTTTTGGGCATATGTCCCAAAATAAAAATATATGGAGTATATTTTCTTTTGAAGATGAGAAATGTTAGAGTTGCAAATTCAAAAATAAAAAAAATCTTACTATTTGTGCATGTATTTTTGCATATAAATGCTAAAAGATCAAAATGATTTTAAATAATTAAAAGTTAAAAATTTAAATACAAATATATATTAAAGTTTATGTATTATATGGTTGACATTATTTTCTCACACCAAATAAATTTTAACTCTGTAATATTTATTTTTCAGAGTTACTCCCGTCACATTTATTTATAAATTTTGGTACATTGGTATCATAAAAGAATTGGACTCTTTGCAAAAGATTAAAAGATGTAATTGCTAGCTTATAAAATGTGAGAGAAAATCCACATTTCCCACAAAAGAATAACTCATCTTCATTTTTATTTAATTTTTCATAATCTTCAATTAAACACACTGAACATTAATATCTTTATTCATATATATATATATATATATATATATATAAATAGATTATAAAAATATGATATCTCAAAATCATTTCAAAAAAAAATTATTGTCATCATAGTTATACTCCATCCGCCTCTGAAATCCTTTCTCCTTTCTTTTTTCATCCGTCCCAAAAAATACTTCTTATTTCTACTCCCTCCGTCCCTAAATATTTGCAACATTTGCTCTTTCAGCAGTCGCGGAAACTTTTATTTATTTCTACGTTTTCATTGGTTATTTGATAAAATAAGATATTCTTGACACCTCTTATTTCGAAGAACTTTTCATATAATTTTTTAATATGTAACTTTTATTTTTTATTTCTATACCAATATCTAAATAAAATGAATTGAAAAAGTTTGATATTTTATCTCGTGAATACAATTGTGACAAATATTTAGGGACGGATGTAGTATTAAAAAGTCACTTTTATTCCTTAATTGTTCATACACTACCTATCAAATCATATCATTTTACTAATAATTTACCCACCAAATTTTACTTTTACCCATCACATCAAAGAATTTTTTGAAATTCAATACCAAAATTCATTTTTCTTAAATCTCTTAAAAATCAATAATACTCATGTTTTTAGGACCGGAGGGAGTATTAAAATTCGATGTATTTTTTTCATAACATATAATCAAAGGTTTCCATGACCGCGGTGTTCTGGTGCGCCGTTCGTAAAATTGATGGTTATCCCCCTAACTCTCCCGGCAAACCCCATCCCACCTCGGCCCGAGACGAACACACCCCACCCTCAAGTTAATTTCGACTTTGGAATCAAATTTTGACTCTAAAGTTAAAATTAACTTAGGGTGCAATTGAGGGGGGTGTGGGTGTATTCGGGTCATGGCAGATTTTGGGGTTTGTCAGAGAAATTTGAGTGTAAGAACTTTCAATATTACAAACAGGGTTCGGAAGCACTTCGAGTCATTCCATAACATTGATTCTCAATGTCATAGCCCTCATAGGAACCGGCTATAATTTTAAAATGTTGTCCATAAAAAATTAAAACGAAAAGAAAGAGATGAGAAAGAACTCATGATTATTCCATCAAGAAAAAATTGAAGAGTATTCCTTACGCGGATCCCTAATTTCTTGCTATATAAAGAGCCACCCGCCCTTCATTCTTAAGCACATTAAAATGAAAAACAACACCTTTACTATTAATCTACAAGTACTAGCTTTCTCCTCTCCCAATGGAAAGGAATAGTTCACACCACCTTTCCTTGTCTCCTTCATCTTCTCTTTTCCATCAAAAACCTAGGGTTCATCATATAATATTCCCTCCCTGTTTTCCAAACAAATTAATGAAAACCCAGATTGTTTTTTTTTTTTGCATTCATAGTTCCACCAACAAAACCCTTCTTTTATTTTGTGTTAATTGTTCTTGGATCGGTTCTGGAAATATGCCTGAGATCGAAGGGAACAAGAACAATGATTCAGAAAGGGGGTAAGGGGAGGAGATGACAGAAGAGAGTGAGCACAAATGGTGTTTTTCTTGCATGATGACTTCCATGCTTGAAACTATGTGTGCTCACTCTCTATCTGTCATCCCACCACACACACACACTCTCTCTCTCTCTCCTTTTTCTTTGAATGTTTTGTTCTTTGATATGATACATCTAAGATGTTGCAGAAAAAATGTCACTTTGTGCTTGATTTTTTGTTTTTGACAATTTTTCATTTTTGTTCTGATTTTTTCTCCCCTTTTTGCATAATTTGCTGTTAACTGTTTCAAATTCTTCATGGAATTAGTAAGATTTGATGAAAGGGTTTGGGAAATTAAATCCAGATGGAGGGAGTATATAGGGATCATCTTGGATTAGTTTTAATTCATTAAATAGATTTTAAAGAACGTGGGGGATCGGATGGAACTGTATAAACAATTTGGATCTTCTTTTAGGTTACAAGAATCCGAAGAAAATCATGATCTTGTTTGGGAGGTGGATGTTGGATGTTAGATGTTTGTGTTGATTAGTTTGAATGTTGATTGAATTGGTTGTGTTAAATCATCTCTGATCTGTTGTTTATGAAGTTTGAATTTTTTTTAAATTCAATTTACTTGGAAATTGGTTTGAAATTTTTAAATAAAATTTACATATTTAAAAACATATTAAGAGATCTGCCCTCTGTCCCTGAGATCTCT